CTTATATCACCTTTAATGAAAAGTTCAATAAATTGTGTTTTCAAAGTGTTGGTGCCTCCACGCCATTCCTTTAAAATGGGGGAGACTTGGGGTGATGCTTCAGTGACTAAGAGCACACGCTGCTTCTGCAGAGGACCCTGGTTCAGGTCTGAGCAGCCACTTGGCGCAGAGAACAAGCCACTACTTCAGCACTGAGGGATCCGATGCCCCGTCCCGATCGCTGTTGACAGTAGACATTCATGTGATACATTTATAGGCATGAAGTAAGACCCGGGTACAGTGGAGCGACGCAGGAAGCAAGCCCTGAGTGCTCACTAACTGTACGAATAAGCATACTGTTGCTGCATCTGCCAGGCGAGTCTGTCAGCTGGACTCCTCAGCCAGCCCAGTTTATAGATGGGAAAACGGACAGTGACGGGCACGGGGCATTCATGGCAACTCAGCCAGCTAGTCAAAGGAGATCTAAACCGATGTTTGTGTGACTCAACAGCCTGGGTTTGGGGTGTTAGCTCTAACTGTGGTGGATTCTGCTTTTCACTGGTGTGTTAGGTGATAATGAGGAGGAGGGCTATGGACAGACTCCAGGATGAACCGCTGGTAGCCACTTTCCAGGTCTCTGTGTTTACTGTTTTTGAAGAATGCATTTCAGAAAACAGTGGCTTCCCCAAGCCTAATATTCTCATGGAACTTCTAAGTTGTAGTAATTGTTCTCAGTTCAAAGGTTGAAATCACCAATTATTTATTGCCAGAGAAAACTGGATGGAGTTTAGAAGCACAGGTGGTTCTGAGCTCTTTCCATGTTTATGTTTATTTAAATAAACAGAAGAAAACAATTCCTTCTGCAAAACCATGAAGTACTCCTAAAAAAAAATAATCCAGCCATAGTTCGTCAGTATGAAGTGTGTCAGTAATCATTTTAAACTATGCCCTTTTATGCCTCTTCCATCCTTTTCTGCTTTCTGAGTAGGTCTTTGATGTAACAAAGACAGTTTCAGACAAGATTTCAGTTCATCTGGAAAAAAAAAAAAACGGTTTCGGTCTGGAGGCAAAATGCAGTGTATTTAAAATTTATACACTCCATAATGCCTTTGTTCTGAACTTGAAGATCCGGCAAAACTTGGGAGCTCCTTTGCCCTCCTCGGTTAAGCTCATTTGTCTATGCTCTGCTTATTATCCGGCCACTGTGGCTTCAGCGGGTGCTTCCACCATTTAACGCCATGCGGAGTCACGGCTGGCCCCTTCTGATCAATTGCCAATCCATACAAGTTTGACTGATAAAAGAGCCAATTAGATTTAAGCAAATTAAGGGACATCACCAATGTCAACCACTTATTAAACTGAACACCAAATTCCATGCATACAAAACAGAGATGCACAGAGCCCCATTAAGCTCTGAAATCCTAACCCCATTAGTAACTCCAGACCCCAGGGGGGGCAAAGGTCACTGGGAGGTTTCATATTTATGGATTAACGTTTGGATTTCCTTTTTATTTTTTTTAACTCTTTGCCTAGAACTCTTGAACTTGTACCATAATGCTATTCAGGAGCTGGGAGTGAAGTGATCCTTCATTTCCTAGAGTATCTTAGCACCAAGTAAGTGTATTATGTTTTAGAAATAATACAAAATGCAGTGATTGTAGGATTTTGGAATCCTGAGAGCACCGGGGAGGTGGGCTGTATTCCACAGATGAAAGCAAGACATGGGGACCTCAAACACTAAAAATTAATTTTTACATACAAGGCTGTGTTTGGGGATTGAGGGCCATTAATCTACACACTTAGCTCTCAGTAGCAACGGCTGACTTTAATTCCTAACTTCAGGTAACATGGGCTCATCAGATTTCGAGTGTGTGTGTGTGTGTGTGTGTGTGTGTGTGTGTGTGTGTGTGTGTGCTGTGCAATGCCTGAAGAGTCCAGCAGGGGGCATCAAAACCGTCGAAGCTTGAGTTAGAGGTAGTTGTGAGCCACCTGACACACACTGTTAACCAGACTCGGAAAGAGCAGTTTGCAGTCTTAAGTGCCGAGCCGTTTCTCCAGCCTGGCCTCTAAAATTTCATACCGCCTTTCCTTGTCTTCCTCTTCCAAATTCCTTTGTAAGCTCACGCTTAGCTGAGGAAAAGTGTCCATGCTCATGAAACGGGGCTTTTTCTTATTCTAGCTACGCACAGGCACAGCCTTTCTCCGCTGGAGCACTGTGCACAGGGGAGGTGACAGCTTTGCAGCCGGCCATCACACAAGGGTCTCAGGTGGAGACTGGGTCTGAGAGAAACTGAGGAATGACGACGTGATCGCTTAATGGTCATTAGGCTGCTCACTGGGTGTGTGCAGGTGCATGTGGAAACGTGGAGGCCGGGCGAGGAGGCCAGCTGTCCTGCTTGGTCACTCTCCGCCTTGTTCCCTTGACACAGAGTCTCTGACAAAACTGCAGTTAGCTGACGATTAGGCTGGTGGCAAACGACCCACCCCCACCCCACTGTCCTGTCCCCTACAGTTCTGGGGTTACACACACTCAAGCCTGCCTCGACGACTCTGCGAACCGTGGGCCCTGCGCTCTGTAGCAAGCACCCGAGAGCTACAAGCCATCTCCTCGGCTGCTCGTTAAGCTGACCTGACCGACTTATTCATGCACTCACCAATTATTCATCACACACCTACCCGTGCCAGGTTTGATCTACGAGCTGAAGTTGAAAACGAACAGGGATCAGCCCCTGCTACGCAGGATCTTATAGCAGAATCTGTGCTGGGCAAATTAAGCTCATGACTCTAGCGTACATGAGTGCAGTCTGGGCTGTGGACTGAATCTCAGGCTAGGTGGGCATGCTGATGAAGTGCTGAAACAGGTGAGTTTATTTGTGTGTGTGCAGGTGTGTGTTCGTGTGTGTGTGCGTGTGTGCCCATGTGCTTGTGCGGAGGTGCTAGAAGGACATTGATACCTTGCTATAATCTCCTCTCTGAGGTTTTACTGAACCTTGATTGCACTAGTTTTGGTACTAGGGTGAGTGTATCAGTCAGATACAAGCACCCACCTGTCTCCTTTTACCTGGGAGCTGAGTATTCAAGCACAGGTCCTCCCGTTTCTGCAGTAACTCTCACACGCTGAGCCCTCTCCCCTCAGCCCCCCGGGGGGTATTCGGTAGCAACCGTTAGGTAAAGGAGAACCAAGGGCATGCCCCAACCCCCCAGGCCCCCCAAACTTTCTATCATGGCGTTTTTGATGTATCTGAAAAAAAAGCCATGGCTTAAGCCACTTCGCTTCAAACCTCATGTGACCCAGCATAGGCAGACACTGGGAAGTCAGTGGCACCGTAGCAGGGGGCCCTGGAAGACAGAAATGGCGGTGACTGTGCCAGCCAAACACAACTCCAAAGCAAGCAGCGCCAGGAGCGTCTCTGCCAGCCGCTCCCTTCTGCGTGCTGGCTCATTTGCTGTCCATTTCAGTATGAAGCACCGCTCACTGGAAGGCATGCAAGATTTCTTTAATAACTCTCAGCACTAATTTAATTCTACTTAAACACACATATTCTACTGAATGCCACATGCTTTTCAGCATGATTTTTATGTGTAAATCATGATAATATGTTTTCAGCTCATTAAGTAAAAGGAAGCATGAACTAAAACCTATTTAATCAATGAGGTATCACCTTTAAACTGCCACAAGGTCATAAAAAAGATCATTTCAAAGCAGTAAGTTTCCTAATTGTAATCAACAACAATCTAACGATGGGAGGAAGTAGGTCCTAATTGTGGCAATAAAGTGGCGCACACTCTGGCTCAAAAGATAACACTTTCAGAGGTGAAGGGTCACCTCCCAAGTCTGACCTCTGGGTACTTACTTTCAGCGGTTGCACAGACCCCAGACGGTGTCAGCCACTGTGAAGCATCAGTTGGCAGTGTGGCTCAGCTCTGCCACGCACGCACAAAGCAATGACTTAGCTTCTCCTTAGATTAGCAAACACACCCTCGAGTGTGTATTGAGTGAGCAATGGGGACGTGCTGTGCTGCTTTAGCTGAGTCGTTATCACAGACGCAGAAGAACTTATTAGACCCCGTGGGCTTAAAAACACGACAACGCACAAAAGGACTCCTCTGTGATGACACTCTCTGTTGCTACAAACCGAGAAAGGTCTCAGTGCACATGCTGTAAAAGGATCGTCCACTAAAGTTCTTCAGTGCCAGGAAGTTTCGCTGCAGGGCAGACACTAGATCCCCTCTGTCCTTCTCCAGCAGTGTCTTCAGGAAGCCCACACCCCCAAGCTTCAGCTGAGAGTCTCGTTTCTTTGACTCTTTCTGCTCAGGAGCTGTAACTACCAATCTGAGGGGGAGATTTCTGCTTAGCACTTAGACCCCACCGTGGTTACGGCATGGGGCTGAGCTGACTGCACAGCTAAGATCAACAATCATGGTTGTTTCAGACGGCACCAGTTTAGAATGGAAATATTTGAGGTAAACATACCCAGAATGCATTGCATTGCACACAGGGAAGGGGTAGAGTAGGATGAAGGGCTTATCAGTGTGTGACTGAAAGTCCTATCGTAGTAGCCACTCCCTGCCCCTTACACAGAGGACCCATATTTCAAAACTGATACTGTCAATATGTTCTGAAATGGGGTTGTACCTTTCCACGGTTCTCCAGTGATCCCTGAACCCTGATGCTTGCCTCCTTCCAAACAGGTTGTCAACATTTTTTTTCAAACTTTTAAAATTTAACAAAATCTGACAAGTTGAAGAAATGAGGAAACAAACAAAGGCGACAAATCAAAATAAACACATTTACTAATGTTAAGATACAGACACCCAGAGATACCTGTATACACACACACACACACACACACACACACACACACACTTAGAAAAAAAGCGAGTTTTCAAAAACCAAAACTTCCCAATTATCCAGAATGACAGTGAACCACTTAGTTCTAAAATAAAGTGTTCCCTAGTCACTTAGCTCTGGGCCTCCTATTTAAACTCAGAGAGTCAGCAACAGATTTCCCAAGACTTACCCCCTGGAGGCATTTCAATGGAGACAGGGTCACTGAGCACACTCCCTTGGCTGTTGGAGGCATTCACTCGGACAGTGTATCGTGAACAGGGAACCAGTCCAGCCACCAGCATCCAGAGCTGCTTTCCTTCACCACTGTGGAAGGCTTTTGTGCCACTGAGGAGCGTGTAGTTGTCACCAGCTGATTGAAGAAGAAAATTACACTTAATGGATATTTTCTGCAATTACTTGAGTATTGTCTTGGGTTGGTAGAGATGGGATGCCAAGTTGAATTATCAAACCAGCACCTGTGGGACCTTGGGTGTGTTCCTGTCAGTGTGTACACCCAGTTCACTATGGTATGAATAAAATGGAGGCTGTGCTAGTAGCTTCAGTTCATCACAGCCATGAAACTGACTTGACAGGCAGGCAGTATGACGTTCTATAGCAATCATCATGCTCGCAAAAAAAAAAAGTGCCCAGATAGAGAAATGGAGCCCTCAATAATTTGTTTTCTTCCTTCCTTCCTTCCTTCCTTCCTTCCTTCCTTCCTTCCTTCCTT